AAGTCAACTTGCTGAAGTTCAAACTGAGCACGAAAACAGGGAGGAAATGAGATTTAAGTGACTTTGAACATGTCAAGGTCTGAATATTTCAGAAACTACTGAGTTACTGGTATTTTCCCACATAACCATCTTTATGGTTTACACAGTGTACAGAGATGGCAGAGGAGAACAGCCTGACTTCTTTGAGCTAAAAGGAAGGCGCCGGTAATTCAAATAAAACCTCGTTACAACTAAAGTATTCAGACGTGCATCCCTGAACACACAACACATTGAAGCTTAAAGCAAAAAAAAAGACCACACCAGGTCCCAATCCTTTCAGCTAGAACAGGAAACAGAGGCTACAGCTCGAACAGCATCAACAAATTGTAGCATGTAGCATTTTTAAAACAATAACAGGATCTGCTGGATTTTCATAATTGAAGTTAAAATGTTTTGTTTGTTTTTTGTTACATGGAAAATTGCTCAGTGGGATTCTGGTGAATGGTTGAAATTGGGTTGAATTCATCTCTCTGTTATGCCCTAAAACCACCACATTTCACTTTTCAACCAAAGACAGGAATATTTCTTAAAGGGACATAAATGTCTGGTGTGTTGAGGGTAGTGGAAGAAAAAGCCTAACCCTGTACTGGAAGTCAAATCAAATGAAATGCATTTCCATATCATATTTGAGTGCTTGATACAGTTCTGGGACAGGCAATCCAGTCAGCAACATGTGTAAATATCAACTCTCACTATAGACCTAATCAAAGCTAACCTGGTGTTTTTAAAGTTGGTGAAAAATGCTCTGACAACTTGCAGTAATATCACACCTTATGGAGGACAAACAGATACTGTTTCATGTTATACATCATGCACCAGGCTCTTAATCAGGCCAAATATACTCTCAGTGACCCTCTGCATCTGGTACAACCCCAAGTGCAGGAATATAATGATGCATCGTACAGCTGCTGACTTGCACCACAGACAAGGGAGAAAACACTTAAACAGTGTAACAATTCAAAATATTGTTTCCAAACAAATCCCAACAAAAAAAGACCCAACACATGAATGTCTGTGCTGGCTGCTTCAAGCAACACTTCTAAACTGATACATGCAGTTAATGTTGTCTGTATATTTTATATTTCATCAAGGATTGCACAAAGCAAACATGCTGTGGATTCACATGCTAGCATCAGTCCCGTGTCAACTATTCAGGCGTGGCTCAGTGGCACTAAACAGGAAGGACAGGCCTTAAGACTCACTCATCGCTCTGTTAATCCCATGACAATGTCTACACTCACCAGACGACAAAATGTTTCACTCCATAAGTCACCATACCAATCAAAAGTGGCAGGAGTCAGCTGTCGGTCTAATTGCATGCAAACTGATGATTTCACAGTGAAGTGGCTCCCAAACACTTTCAAACAGAGTGAGGTCTTATTGAAAACGTCTGCACGATCAAGCCAAATTTTCATTCAGAAGAGTTTGCTGAATAGGCCCAGTCAAATGAGGGGACAAAAAGATGAATGCAGCACATGCTGTACACACTTTGCTTATTCACACATAAACACAGCGAGCTCTGAGTGTACGCAAACCCTTTTATAAGAAGGGTAGCATGTCCCACTGCCAACATGACAACCAGGAGCACTGAGGCAAAATGCACCAAAAACCACACAACAAAACCAACATTTTCAACCCGTGTTACTAAGCAAAACTCGTCCAGAAACTTCAGCTCTGTTAATGTGTCTGACCAACGCTCGGTCACCGAATTGCATACGCAGGAACAGCAAAACGATTTAATAATTGCAGCAGCTCTTACTTCGATGAGGAAGTCCCCCGTCCTAAGTCCTGCTTGCCATGCCACTCCTCCCTCATCCACAGACTCCAGGTACTGCAGGGCTGGAAAGGCAGGTGTGGGAGTAAACTCCTCAATGGGCGTATCCGCTGGACATCAAAGAGAGAAGAGCGTGGTCCCATAAAATAAGGCACAATGCAAGAAAGCAGTTTTAAAAAGGGACAAGATCTAAACAAACAGGTATATGTTAACACAATGACACAATGAATCTAAGACGTAAAACCTTTTTAAAACCTGACTTTAAAATGTCAGTTAATTCTCTGTGCACGGGCAGATTAACCCCAGCGTAGTATAAAAACCTGTAAAACATTTAAACAGAATGTAACCCATTTGTTACATTCTGTTCTGCAAGCTACAAAATACACAGCAGCAGATGAACAACCACACAGTCTATCAGCGTGTGTAATTTGCCCTGTTAATACTGTCATGGTTTGACTAGAGGGTTAGCAATAATTGGTATGATTAAAGCATGAATGCTCCCATGGCAGAATTAAAAGGGGGATTTTAGCTTCACCCAACGTTCACGTGCGCCCAAAGTTACTTCCTGGCTACCATGAGCTGGACCCAGATTCTTAGCTTTTTACATGTTCATTACAAACGGGTTTGTATATGTCAGCTAAGGATTTAAAATTCTTTTAAGACCATGAAGCAGCAAAACTGACAGTTTGATGGACTTTAAAACTGTTTTACCCAGAGAATTAACTCAGTTCAGGTTTATTTATACAGTGACAAATCATAACAACAGTTGCAGCCACCTTACACTGTGAGACCCTACAATAACAATCAGATGACCCCCCTATGAGCTAGCACCTGGCGACAGTGGGAAAGAAAAACTGCCTTGCATGTAGGCATTTGTCCTGCTTTGCAGCCTGCTTGAGCTCAGCATAGTAGCATGTGAACCACTTTTACCAGCTGCAACAGTTTAGAATGACTCTCCATTTCACTGCACAGCTCAGGAGCAGTTCTTGCTCTGCCCTGGAGGTCTGCTGTGACCTCGATTATTATCACCGGCTGCAGTCCATAGCAGTGGAGGGGGGGCGAGAAACGTTCTTGAAAGGCAGGTGAATGACATCAAGGACCAGCACAATAGCGACTCGGTCAGCCTGCCGGTAGGGAAGCAGGAGTCAGGAAGCTAGATGGTTAGTAGTGGCTGAACAAAGTACGAATAAGGAGATTATTCCGTGCTAAAGTCATTCTCTCAGGCTTATGATAAGAAAGCAACATAAAGCACAACATATACAACTATTAATATAGTCTGGCCATACTCCCCATGTCAAGTCTCTGTGTGAGCAAGACTTGTTCATTAATTTTAATAATAAAGCAAATTCGTAAAATTCTTTGTTTCTCAGGAATAAAGTGGCAAAAAAGCATCCCTCGTTTTAAGAAAAGTTTACCATCTCTCCTGTTCTCTACTATCACTTTCATCACGCGCAGCCGCGGCACGCGCTCCCTCTGTGGCGGGAAGGGAGGTTAGAAAATACTGGACTGAGAGAACGCAGCAGTGACAAGTGACGTTTCCTATAACTCACCCTGCACAGCACTTATGAGGGGATTTGCATGATTGTGATGACTGTGTTTCTTTAGGTGTCTGTCTGTGTGTGACACAGTGACAGAGGAGGACGAGAGACAGCGAGCGCAAGGGAGAGAGAAAAGAGAGGCTGAACTGCAGAGCACAAAAGAGGATGTGAGCTTATGTGACAGCTCGAGCATCAGCGCATGTTTGTGAGTTTGTGTATGCCTGTTCACCCCGTGCAGTGCAGGATAAGCTCGGCTGGGTCAGTTCCCCCGGGGTGATAGCAGTGTGTGTTAGGATGACTAGAACATTCCTCTTGTTTTTCAAGTCAAATCCCTCTTTCCTCTCCCTTCATGTCAGTCCCTCTCCTTTTTCTCCCCCTCTCTCTGTATGTGCCTTAAAAAAACATGAACATACTAAATTTACCTCTCGACAGTAACCATGGTGTAGACCAATGGAACAGCGGCGCACAGTTGTAGAATGCAAACGTGGATTATGACATGGCGAGAATCGTCATAGAAACCGATGCAGCAGCTCAAACTGGCTATTTTTAGTGCCAATCTTACAGCCTGGTGAAACGGCAAACTGCATGGGTAGGCCACTCTTATCACAACAACTCCTGGTGTGGTGGAAAGAGGTGAAGGATGGCGGACACAACAAAGACGGCTACACGCAGACTTACTTAACCAAAAAAAAGAATAAAAAAGGCCTTCAGTCTGATGTTGTTACAGATGTTGTTACAGATGTTCACAGACCTCTGCAGCATGCATGAAAAGACATTAAAATGTAGGCAGACTTATGTGCAATCAAATGAGTGCTGGCGTGCAATCACTCCTTACGTGCATTAAAGTTTCTATAAGTATATTTCTAGTGGAACTTATCTGCATGTTTTTGTAGTGTCACGCAGACACACGCCTCTGAGTGAGAAGGCTTAAACTTGAAATTTAAATGCAAATTGACATATATTGGTGAATAGTTTCATGAGGCATGTCAGTGTTGATGACTTCTAGTGTTGATACTTATAAGGAAGGATGACGGTTTGGGGAGAAAGGGAGAACAGATCCGAATAACAATCACAAAAAGTAGCTAAGTCGATAAATGCTCCTACCTTTTGCCCCACGCAGGACGAAGCCAAATCCCTCATTCTCCTTTTTCTGCAGCACCACCGTCTTCTCGTCCACCACGCAGTCACTGTGGAGGAGATGCCGAGCAGAGCGCCCGTTAGCACAACCCATCATCCGCAGCATGGCCACGGACGCCCTGCCCGAGTGGAGGTTCATACTGCTGGTGGAGCGCTAGTCCGGCCAGGGCAGGGCAGGGCAACCCTGACCCCACCCCACCACCACCACCACCGCTGCCCCCTCCCCCCTCCTCCTCTTGTCGGCCTCTGTCTCTATCAAACGGTATGACAGCGGCCCCGGGAGCCCGGCGACATCATCTCCGAGAAAAAAACAGCAGAAACACAAACCGGGGGTAGACGACGCACGAGAAGCGCCTCCCTGCCCTCTCCCCGCCGCAGTCGCTCCCTGTCCGCTTCTCCTGGTCGATGGCGCGGTTACCTCCGCTGCTGCTCCCGTTGCGCAGGAGGAGAAGGAGGAGGCTCTGACCCGGCGTGCGGGAGTGCTGCGCCGCCGAGGAGACGCGACATCAGGCTGGTGGTGATAGCCTCTAACGGCTCATCATGAGGCGGGAAGGAAGGCTGGAGCTCCCCGGGTTGGGAGGTGGAGGGAGAGAAAGCGAGAGAGAGACAGAGAGGGAGGGAGGGAGCCACGCTGTGGACGGAGAGATGTCTAGGTGTGCTGCGCGCTGCACCCGACAGGTTGGTGGGGAGGGAGGGAGGGAGGGGGGCAGCAGCAGTGAGGCGGTGACGGCGGACTCACTGATTGATGACCCAGCGGAGGATCGGATCAGTTTTATACAGCGCTTTATTAGAATCACATCTTAATTAAAAAAACAACAACAGCGACTTAAGGGGACACCGGAAACAGTTTTTATAATCAGAGCAGTAACAAACACTGATGACTGAATGAATAAAGTTGAATGTTTGTTTGTTTGAAGAGCTGCTCAGATCCTGATCTTTGTATGAAGTCAGTCTGAGTTAGTGGTACAGTCCTGGGGAAAGGAATTGCTCCGAGTTGTACTGGGACGACCTAAAAATCATTATGTTTTATTTGTGCCTTTGTGTTCTTTCTGGCCACGGTAATAAACCATGAATGCCATTTTTGCTCAGTGTCTTTCTTATCTTTCACTGACTTCATTGAAACAAGTGAGACGTGAAGTTCTTTCGATGATGTTTTGGGCTTTTTCTTGACCTCCTGAATCAACATGAATGCACTTCGGTAGTAACTTTGGCCACTCCTGTTCCAGGTTTTCTCCATAGATGCCCTCCCCGTGGGTTGTTGGTCTTAAAGATTTAGAAATGACTTTGTAACCATTTCCATCTGCATTGTTTCTTTAAATCTCTGGTTCAGGAAACCAGTTTGAAATTATATGAGCTTTGTGACAATCTCCTGTTGGAAGCAGCGATCAGAAGATTGGTGCACTGTGGTCATGACGGGATGGACATGGCCAGCATCGATACTCGGGTAGGCTGTGGCATTTAATTGATGCTCCCTTGTGGTTATTTGAGTTACTTTTGTCCCATTATCTTTTTAGAATGAGCCATTCTAACCTCTAACATCAACATGCCATACTCACTAAGAGAACTCTTCTTTTTTAGACAACTTTGAGATGTTTGTGTGGGATCCAAGTAGATGAGCAGCAGGTTCTGAAATGCTCAGACCAGTTCATCTGGCATGCACAATCATGCCACAGTCACTTCAGCCACCTTTGTTCCCAATTCTGATGGTCAGTTTGTACTTTAGCAGTTCATCTTGACCATGTCTACATGCATAAATGAACCGGGTTCCTGCCATGTGATTGGCTGACATATATATTTGCATTAACAAGGACCAAAACAGGTGTACCTAACAAAATGGCCAGTGAGTGTACATGTACACTGTAGTAAAAAAAAAAAAAGAAAAGAAAAAAGTTGCAGTTGCTCTGAGTCTCCCCTACTTGTCAGCTGAATAGCTTGAAATAGAAGTTAAAAGAAACAAGCATGAAGTATCATAAGCTATGTGCTTTGTCCTTTAGAGTACTCCTCAGTGAGGCCATGGTTGTGGTAATCTGCACACAGAGGTGCATGAGACTATAATTTTAAAAGCGTGTTCCCCCATAAAGTGGGGGATCCTCCCCCTTTTTGCATGTTAAAAAAATTGATTGTATATAAAAAAAATGTTTTAACATGCAACAACTCCTCTGAGTGAAAAAAGTAATTTTTTCAGAAAGGTTATCTTAATATCGGACCTTCTCTTCCTTTGTTGGTCTAGCCTTGCAAATCTGTAGACTTTGCTTAAATGACTGTTTTCATAAACACATGGATTAATAGTGTTTAATAGCCCTTTCTTAAAATGACTCTGTAGCATAAGGCTACACTCATCAGCCACATCATTGAAATAACTGAGAGGTGAAGTGAATTATATTGGTCAGCTTGATATTATGCGGTGTTGTGCTGAGAAATCTTGACCTTCAAAGTCCAGTTTGTTTGCAGATACGCCCTGGACACGTCACCAGCTCACCACAGGGCTACAAAGAGACTGACAACCACAAATTCTCACATCCACAGCATCATTACAATCACAAATTCATTTAACATGTACATGTCTTTGGGCTGTGGGAGAAAACCCAAGCCAGAAAAGATAGAACATGCAAAGTCCACACAGAAAGGCTGAAGCTGACCAGTGGGTTCAAACCCAGATATTTCTTGCTGTGAAGTCATAGTGCAGAGGAAACCATCAAACCTTCTGAACCGATAACTCGGAGAGGTTTTGATGGTCCAAGAGGTACCCAGACAATATTAGGCATGTAGTTTTAATGCTGCGGTCAAATGGTGTACTAGTAGGTTGATATTCTACTGAAATCCTCTGTTCTTTTTGCTAATTAATGGCAATGCTAAATGTCTAGTGCAGTCATACTGCAAATGGTGTTTGATATGCATATATCTGCAATGTTTAGCATCAGCGTCAGCTATGATTGCTAGTCCTAACCTAAACCGTTACACTGCACTTGTGTTTGAGGAATCCTCTACAAGGCAATGCAGCATCTCCACAAAAACAGCAGGATTGCTCCAAATACAAAGGCACCCCTTTATGTAAACGGTCTAATCAGACATCTTCTCCTCAGCTCTGCATATATTAACTACAACTATTTTGTTCTTTTTCTATATGCATGCAACATTCAACCTCTCATTCCCTGCAGTGATCGTGGCCGAGCCTGCTGTGGTGAGACTGACCAGCATCATCTGAGCTGCCAAGCAGAACTGACCATGAAACTGGCTGGGGAGAGGTCCAAGTAAAAGGCCAAGTTTGCTGCTCCAGCCTGAGGTGTTTGTTGAAAGTGCATCATTCAGCTTATATTAGGCACAAGGATTACAGTGAATAGACATGTGGGATGAGAGAGAGAAGGAAAAGAGAGAGGGAGAGAGAAGGGAGAACAAAGAAGGAGAGAGAGGAGCTAGTGCCATCCTAGCAACAGTTCCCTTAGCAACGCAATCTGTCTGGATAGGAAGGAGGCCGGCACTGCTGACATACTGAAGGTTATCTCCCAGCATTCCCTTACACTTGCTCACTCACTCGCAGACACCCTCCAGCCTAAAGTAGGCGGTCACTGGTAATCACACCATGATCACCTAAATCTTACACGGTGGACATTTCAATAGGTCAGCACAGCAGGGTATGGGAAAGGGCCTGACAGGAAGTGTCCTATTCGATAGTTAATGAGAGGGGGACATCAGGCTGAGGCTGTTTTATCAAAACAGAGTGGGAGATAACGGGTGTGCGACACGCTCCCCAGGATGTATGGGATAAAGTGCTGGCTTACCCCAGTGAGAACGCTGCCTTGGTCTGGACTGTGGGAGGCAATGATGTATTTATAGTCTGCATGAGAGGCTCTATATGTTATGCTATGATATCACTCTTCTGCTGTCTACATGAAACTTTTTATTGGGGTTTGGAGTTCTGGCTAAAGAGCACAGCAATAAGTTGTTTCCTTACATGACTGATGGCTGCTGGAGAAAATGATGTAAGCTCATGGTGGTTAGAATATGTGGGCGTGTACTCCTAGTCATCATTTCATTACTTTGTGCATTATCATCTGTGACATATGACTGTGAAATTGACTCTTTGGGCACCAGCATCATCAGCGTTCTATTTCAGACAGCCAAGAGTTGATGCATCTGACATCTGGCTTTCTTTCTACTCCAATTCCATTGCAGTCTTTATCAGCAAGGAGCGATTTCCTGTTTACATTTCAGATTTGAAGAGTAATGGAGTGGAAGAAGAGAGTACCTGTGGATTATGGTATCAAAAATGGTGAAATACAGCAATAAAAACATCATTGTAATGCTTGTAAAGCAATCCGATATGGTTTGGTGACCAATCACAGCGAGTTTTTGAGAATATGCTAAACTTTTCTGTTGGTGAAACTGCTGTTTTGCTGCTATTAGCTAGCATTAGCCACTGTTAGCCAATATCTTGGAAGTGGATGCAACTTTGTTTGACTCTGATGCTTAGTGAAAAAAACTCATTTGATGTTCGAATCATACCTTACTTACATACTGTAAGAGGAAAAGTTTGACACTAGCTGGCAAAATGTTAGCTTACAACCAGCTGTCATTGTTGTTCAGACTGCTAGCTCTACGGAGACGGTAGGGTCGCATGTCTAACCTGCTGATAACAAGTAATTGCAAAGCCAGTGTCGCTGTGTCTTTCTTTGGTGTAGGGGACTCCTTTGATGATGTAAAGATCTGTATGATGACACAATGACACAACCTGAAATGTCCCTGCATGCCCATGACTACTCTTCACCTCCACATTTTATAAATTACAAATCCTGTTTTAGGTATATTGCTAGATTTACTTTTTAACATTTTGATGTGCTGCCTTAGATATTTTGGACATGAAATAATTATTTCTGTAATGGAAAAATTGCCCTAATATGTGTAAAATCTAGATAGTCATATGTCTCTGTATTTCTTGTACGAATTTGCCATATTGCTTTTATTCTAGTGTGACTGAACCTTTAATTGCTGAACCATTTTACACATAGTGGTGAATCATTTCTGGGATGGGATTCTTTTTATATCCAAACATGTTACTGAGCTGTTGCCAAATAATCTAATTAACTGCGAGCTGTTCCCCCAGTTTTTAAAGCTTTCGGATAGTAACGTATTGAAAACATATGGATGGATTCAAATGTAAGAAAAGACTCAGATTTAACATTTGATATGTTTTCTTTTTACTAGGGTTTTATAGAATACCTGCATTATACTATTCAGGCTGCCAGTCATGCTTTAGTGCTACCTTCAGCTTAGTTTAGTTTGAGCAGTGTGGCACCTTCTTTCTGTCCACAAACACACAGACCAAGAAAACTCTTCCTGCCTCATACGGAATTCATCAGCCCCCTCTGCCAGTTAAAAAAACAAATATGAATTTTTAACAAGCCCAGAAGGACTGAGTGCCTTAGAAAAGTCAATCTTCCAACAAAAGGGAAAAAGTGCAACACGCCAATCGTCGAGGTTGAGAAAAATATTAGTTATGACACAGTTTGTTCCATTAGTGAGCACAAAAGCTGTCAAAGCTCCATCGATATTCAGGTTAAAGTTTAATTTAAGATTTCCATTGGACTTAAATGTCACATGAGCCTTCAGTCTTTGCCAACTGGTCTTCATCACTGCGGTGTAGACATGATTCACCTTGACCCATATTGGGGGGGAAAAATCCATCGGCATGTTCACTAAATCGTGCCAGAGGAAATCCAGCAGAGCAATGAGAGAAATGTCATTGTGTCCTTCACAGCTTCATCAGCACAGACATTCCAGCATGTCTTTATGTAGCAATTTAAAACTAGCGTCTAGTGGTTACAGTCACTAGAATTATTTGAAACTCTTTGCTTTTTATAAAATAACTGATAAATAGTAATAATAATAATAATAAGTGGGGATAGGTTAATTGGTTAATCCAAATTGCCCATAGGTGTGAATGCGGGAGTGAATGTGAGTGTGAATGGTTGTCTGTCCCTGTGTGTTGGCCCTGCGACAGACTGGCGACCTGTCCAGGGTGTACCCCGCCTCTCGCCCTATGACAGCTGGGACAGGCTCCAGCGCCCCCCGTGACCCTGAAAAGGAGGAAGCGAATGGACGGATGGATAATAATAATAATAATAAAACCAAAACAAGAAGCATCAGTGATATTTGCTCTCATTATGTGCTTTAGATTTATGAATAAATAAAAAACACTGAAGCATCTTTAAAATATAAAATATCTTAAAATTGTGAATTGGCACTATAGAAATAAAACAGAACTGAAACAAATAGTTTTTCTTTGTTTGCGTTTAAGTTCTATCTACTTTAAAGCATAACATCCACATTATATGACAGACTATTCATCTCTTATTGATGCAATGATTTTATTTTGTGTTCAATTCAGAAAAATGTGATTGTCTTTACTCCTCAGTGAATCTGCATCTGCTGTAGCTTTTCCTCCTGGACAGACTGACATAGTTTAATCTTTGATACGTATTGTTGGTCATTTCCACGTAGCAATTTATATCACTGCATATGTTCTGCTTCGATGGATGAGCCACATCTCTGCGAGGACATTCAGCTCACCCGTAGGATTGACTGTTTAAAAAATTGATGTTCAAAGTTCCCGCAAAGCATATCAAGCCCTCTTTCTCTGTCTGGCTCTCTCTCACACACAAACACAAACATGGAAGTGTACATCTTTCTTCATTCCTAACCAACCTTATCTTGAAGTAGATGTGACAGGAGAGACGAGTAAAGGAGACAAGATGGTAAAAACCTTGGGATTCGATGTCAGGTACCATTACACAGAACTTTTCATTTAGCTGAAAGGACACGGTTGCATGCTGATTCCATTTTTGCTACTGTGGCTTTGCTTTTCTCTGAAGAACAAAATGAAGTTTTCTATCCAGAGCTTACTGAAGATTTGTCCATACACGGATACAAATAATGACTTTCTTTATTAGTAAGTTTACTTTTTATACTGAGGTGTTGCTTCTGTGATGGCAAACAGTGAATTAAAATTCATAATTCATTTATGCTGCAGTGCTTGTGGTATCAGGTACAGTGTATAGGTTTACCTATAATAGACCACCATGAGTGAGAATCCTGTAGTGATTATTGATTTCCAGTCGGTGGGCATTTGTTCAAATATTAATTCAACAAGCATTTTTTTTAGTTGTGACCAAAACTAAAATGTCTGTCTTTCAAAACACAATGTAAATATGTCCTCATAGTCTAACCCGAACTTTTTTAAAGGACAATGTCACGTAATAAATGAATTAAGCCTGTAACTGTGAGCATGACAGAAACTACAGCCTCTGAAACCTATACAGACATGGTGGACAAGTGCACTGTCTACAAAAAACTCTGGGCAACTTTCGAACTGTATTTATTGCATAATTTTTAAATGGTAAATGGACTGGCTCTTCTGTTGTGCTTTTCTATGCAAGACTCAAGGCACATTATCGATCATGGCTCATTCAGCCAGTCACACACACATTTTTTACATTTTAAGTGCTTTCTGTCAACATTCACACACACATTTAAACTCCAACGAGCGCATAAGGAGTAACTGGGGGTTCAGTATTTTGCCCAAAGATACTTTGACATGCAGACTTGAGCAGCCAGGGATCGAACCACCAACTTTCCAATTAGTAGATGGCCATAGCTACGCCTTACATTGAAGCTTATGCACGAGTTCAGTGCGTATTAGTAAGGTGTGGCTGGTTTCACTCATGTGGCTGGATTCCTGTGTATTGTGTTCATTATACTCATCATATCATACTATTCAATATTTTCCCGCACTGCCAACTTTCATTCTGCCATCACCGCTTTGGCCCAATCACTTTCTGTCTCTATGAGCCAGTCAGCTGATGTCCTGTGCTCTTCTGTCATTCTGTGTTTCAGACTCTTATTTGTGCCACTTTCCTCCTACACCCCTCCACCTCATCCTGGTGAATTATACATCTTCCTCCAAGTCTCCACCAGCTTCACCTTTGCTACTACCACTGTCTAGACTTCTGGTGCTGTCCTGTTTCATACCACTGCTGGACTCCATTTGGCTACATAGCTTCACTGGAGCCTAATAAGTTAGTATAAATAAATTAAGTTGGCATAACTTGTATTTCTTAAATTGACAACACAGAATTTGAATGCTACATTAACATAAAGAGATTTTGTTTCACTCAAGAGATGACAACGAGCTTTCTGAAAGAGACAGAAACATCATGCAAAAGATTAAATGGGAGCTTTGCCAAAGTGCTCTTGACTTTTTGGTATAATCCATAATACCAAAAAGTATGAAGCAAGTTCACACATCCATGGATTTTTTAGCTTGTTTTTTTAAATGTGACTTCTTACCTTGAAGCATCAAAGCTGTCATAGGAGCCCACAGTGTAGTGCCTGAAGAGCTTCCGTCTGTCAGCACGGTCTGCTCGGGAATCTGCCAATTTACAGCAGAACAAGATCAATACCCAAATACCATTCATAGCAGTTTACAAATCAGTGACAGCTGTTAGGAGAGTGGCACTTAAAATATGGCACAATAAGCCCTGCATCCTCTAAAACAACAGCAGAGCAGCAAATATGAACGTAGTCACCTGTATTTGGTTGGAATGTGTTCTTAAAAGAAACATCACACCATCTCGTTCAGTCACATATAAACATGTAAATACAACAAGATGACCCAAAAAAGTGAAATAAGCTCCTCTTCATGACAGTTTCATGCACTGATAGAGACACGGGGGTATGTCAAAATACTCCAGAGAACAAGTGCAAAAAGCATAATCAGCATGGATTCAATGTTAAATTTGTGTAATTAGAGAAAAGTTACTTTGTCAAGATTATTTGACTAGACTTTGATTACGTATTGAGCTTTCTGTGAAACCTTGATATTAACTAATAGTTTTAACTTCTCTGACACAAATGCACCGATGCATTTCAAGTGAATCCAGAAGTATTTAGATTACATTACATAGTTTTAAACAGATGGGTTACCCCAACATGTTCCCACTCCCAAAGCATAACATTTTACGCTAGGTGACAAATCGTCGGTATATTACGCTTCCCGGCACCCAGCACGTCCCTATATTACGAGAAAACCGTTTGCAATGAATCCCGCTTTGATATCACTTTGGAAAACACTATGTAACGTCATTAAAGTGCTGGTTAGGGTTAAGGATAATGTTAGGGTTAGGGCTGGAATACATGGCCGTGTATTACCGTGGGAGCGTCATTCTACTGGATTTCATCCATAACCTGGCGCATAGCATAAGAACGCAGAAGGTCACCTTTCACCTCGGGACAAATCTTCACTATATTATGCCTCGGGAGTGAGAACAGGGTTTCCATACTAGAAAAATCCTTTAAAAATCCAATAATAACTGGCTATTGTTAAAAACAATCTGACTCAGGTTGGGAATATCTTCACCTTTAAAACAAAAAAATACTGCGAGGTCTATAATTTTCTGCACAACAACACAATGTTTGCAGTTTTGATCTATCAACTGAGCTACAAGTACAGAACCACACACTTTCACCTTTCATTAAATTGTGTAATTTACTTTTTAACCTCTGAAATTGCACTTCAAACAGTATAAAGACTGTAATTCCTAAGAGTTTGTAAAACCTCCTAATTTGGAAGTTTGATATTGATTACTTGATTTACAATCCACTGTATTTTTCTCCAACAAATTATAGATTTACTTTAATTCATTTTTTTTAAAATCACAAAAATGACTTGTGGGAAATACAAGATTACAGAATACAATTCTTTCATTAAGGTGACAGTAAGATTTAAGAGTAAACAATTCCAGTTGGTAATAGATTATAGAAAATAGTCAGCGATGGCTGATCAACTATGCTCCTTCTTGCTAGTAGATACACTATCATAATTCACAGGGTCACAGGAGGTCTCTGTATGTTGGATATACATATATAACACCACATAAATACAATAAGCAAGCAGTATTCATAAGAAAGAGGCAAATCAGTTAAAATCCCAGCTATCCCAGGGTACACCTGGGACAGGTCGCTAGTCTGTTACAGGGCTAATGCAGAGAGACAGGTATTTGCATTCACATTCACATCTATGGGCATTTTAGAATCAGGAATTACCCTGACCCCACTAACTGCATGTCTTTGGACTGTAGGAGGAAGCCAGAGTACTTGGAGAAAATCCACGCAGACAAAGGGAGAACATGCAGAGTCCACACAGAAGGGTACAGACCAGATGGTGGAGTTGTGGAGACCTTTCTGTGTGGAAACAGTGCTAACCACCGTGCCACTTTATGTATTTAGCTTAATTGGTCCTGTATATCTGTCTATCAAACTGTGAAGTGAGGATCTCTGACCAAATATTGCACTGTAGGTCTGTCCAGAAAGTCTGTACTCAGATATTAATTGATGCTAACAAATGATATCAATTTAAGATACTTGGTAACAACATCAATACCAACAGTGGCATGTTGGTTCCTTTCAGCTGGCATACAACTTCACACAGCACATGCAGACAGACTCTCGTCTCCTCACTAGCAGATGAAGTAGTTAATGTTCATACGACTCAACAACACTTTAGGTGGAATCTCAGTTCAGTAAAGCTCCCATTTCAAAAACACTGAAGTATTAACCAGCTATCACACATGCTAACCTGGCCAGCGTGCACGTGAACACCATTTAACTACTAGCAATTACCCGACAGCCACATCAGCCAGCTGTTATCATTAACGTAGTAGCTTGGACCTTAGTGAGATAAAAGCAGAGTAATTATTGCAGGCTGAACACATCCTGCATTTAATGCTGAGACATGAGCCACAATTACTGCATGGAAACATGGAGACCTGGGTGTGTTGCTGGCTGTACAGCTTTACCTGAACTGTGCATAGAGTCCAGAGTGTGGAGAACGTTCAAGCAAATAAAGAGTAAAATACAGAGGACAGCCAGAGAAGAGAGTTTTAGTCCTGATGACGAGGGTTGGCTGCGAGTGATGGATGAAAGAGAGTAAAGGTAAATGGACTGGTCCTCATATAGCGCTTTTCTACTCTGAGCAGTCGAAGCGCTTTATACAAATAATTCATTCACCCAATCACACCAATCACACAAGCACTGTTTTCTAAACTGTTAAGTGCTTACTGTCTAACATTCATACGGCTGCATCGGAGAGTAACATGGAGTATCTTGCCCAAGGATATTTGCCATGCAGACTGGTGGAGCCTGGCATCGAACCACCAACCTTCCGGTTAGTAGCTCTACCACCTGAGCTACAGCTATACATGTAGCTGCCATCACCAGTGTGTGAATGTGTGTGTGAATGGGTGGATGACTGGATGTGTAAAGCGCTTTGGAGTCCTTAGGGACTAGTAAAGCGCTATATAAATACAGGCCATTTACAGCCACCCCCAGAGTCTGCAGGGAGATGTGGACAAGATGTTAAACTTTGTTTTTTCTACTAAGAATTTGTGTTTCTTGCTTTGTTGTAGCTGTGAATTTAGCTTTAAAATGCAGGAAGTGACTGGTTTAATTTTTCACTGCTAGTACTGTTTTCACGTCTTCTTTAATGTAACATAACTAATACCACAATTTATCCAAAGTAATTCTTTTAAAAACTTTTTTCATAATTTACAATAATTAAGTTACTAATCTTAAACATGTATTATATTAAATCAAACCTATAACTGGAACAAATTGTTGACACTTAACAAGTTAAGTTATTTGAATATGACTTCTTCACTATTGCTTTTCTTGGTGTTAGGACAGGGATAGGGTCAAAATTGCACACTCAGTCAATTAGTTAATGAACACACATCTAAACTATACTACACATTTTGCACATTTTGCATCTTGCACATGTCTTTGTCATGTCTCGTCTATAATATCCTGAAAATAACTTGAACCTGGTATTCTATATCACTGCACAATCCACTTTGCATTGTCTCTGTCCTGTCTTTGTTTATCGTACAGTTAGTATTGTATAGTTAGTAATTAGTACCTTTTTATCCCTTATTTTTAACAACATTTAGCGTGTTATTTATTTGTAATTTCTAGTTTTATATCTCTTGGAGATATATCTTTTATATACTTATATATGCACGAAGGGGGACTTGGGGTGAAACAGCATTTCAGTACACTGTACACTA